CAGCATCCGAGCTCCCGTTGCCGTTAGCCGGATGCTGATAGTTGCAATACCAATCTCAGCCAGGTTTATACCATTTCTTGCCTTGAGTAGCACATCGGCATACGTCACCCCCGCTCCACCGCCTCCCTCCGCAATGTGATGACCACTGCGGAAGTTTTCGGCGGAGTGAGCGAAGGCTGCACCCTGACAGACCTCTCTATAACTGCCACTCGCCCAGCCGAGGGCCCTGCGCCGCGACTCACTCCATGGTCCTCTGACCGGCCAACACGGCCACTTCCCCCACTCACAGGGGGAAGGACCGGCACAGCGGGAGAACCACCCTTCTTTCCCTTACCCTTCTTTTTGCTGACGGTCGCCCAGCTTCCGTCACTAGGACCCCCAGAGACCCGGGGCCCCGAAAGACCTGGGGCCTCCGGGACTCTGCTCCCCTCTAAATCTTCGGGACCCTGGGTCCCCACCACATTCGGAGCCACCGTGCCCCGACCCCCCAACGAACCCTCACGGGTGCTTGAGCCCAGGGGCCCTGCGAAATTCAGGGCCACCGGCCCCCCCTCTCCACAAAACGCTCAGGGGCTCCCGGACCACGGGCCGATGCCGCCAGCGGAGGACGCAGCACAGGCTCAGGGAGGAGCCTGTCCCCAATCCCCGCAAGCTTGGCATCTAGCATGCCCCCAACAGCCCGCATCACCTCCCCCATAAGGCTCTCCTTCACCCCATCCAAAAGCCCCTCCATCATTTGACGGAGGGCATCCGGAGTGGAGGGACCCTCCACCGACACGGGGTGTCCCTTTGTCTGCGCTAAGTGCGCAGTGCTCTCATTGAACTCCCTCCTAAGGGCCGCAAGCTCCAGACCCAGGTCTTTTACCTGGGCCCTCAGGCGAACATTGTCCCTTAGGACACGCCTCCCCCTCATCCCCTCCCAGGCATCTCTCCGCGAGATCCTCCACGATCTCAGCCACCTCCTTGGCTGCAACCTTCAGGTCGCGGACAAACTCACCCTTGAGGTTGCCCGACTTCGCCGCAATTTCGAAAATGCGACGAACCCGCACAGCCGTCCGCTCCTTCATCTCAGGAATGCCAAGGAGGATAACATCGTCCAACTCCTCCTCCCCGGATGACCTCACAATCCTGATATCCACACAGGTGGGAGCCCCATAATCGGAGAGATTCCCCGCACCTTCTAACCTCTCTGCAAGGCGAGAGCAAGCGTTCTGACGCCGCAACTCTCCCTCCGCCTCCTCCAACCCTACCACATGAGAAGCCGCCTTTTTCGGCTTACCCTTGGCCGGTGGAGAGCAAGTTTCCTTGTTGTTGCCAACCGGGCTTTTAGTATGCGCCCGCTTCCTCTCACCGGAGCACTCCACGATACCCACATCGTCGTCGCTATCCGAGGACGACGAAAACACCAACCCTTTAGCTCGCCTCATATTAAGGTGCTACTAGATCCTACCCCCAACTAACATTAGAGTCGACGACTCAACCCCCTACCCAATAAATATATAAATAAATAAATATATAAATGAATAAAGAACTGAGTACAATACACCACACAAATACAATCCTAATTCTAAAATCTTAATTCTAAATAATTAAAACTAAAATTTATTGTTCCAATCCACTTCGGTGTGACGAAATCCAATCTTCGGACGCCCACTCACTTCGGTGTGAGAGACGTCCAACCTTCAGCTGTCCACCAAGCTTGTCAACAACAAGATGGCGGACCAACGCGTCACGGAAAAAACCCCAACCTTGGCCCCAAACTTGTAAACAACAAGATGGCGGACCGAAGCTTCACTAACTTGCCCGACCTTGGCACCCAACTAGTAAACAAGATGGCGGGCCGACAATTCACTTTCAATTATTCACAAATAATTTCCACCTTTTCCTCCAATCTCGATGAGCGTCAACTCAAACAGCTCGCCTCCAGAAGATAGAGATGATAGTAATACTATCTTCGCAGATGCACCTCCCGCCAAAAGGCAAACCAACAATGTAGCTCTCAAGCAATTTAAATTATAATGGCCAAACTAATGGGCCAAAAATAAAAATTGATAAACTCACAGTTGCACCTTAATCCAGTTCACAATTAGGACACATAAAATTTATGTGTCGTCGCGACACATAAAAAGATACCACAAAAAACTAACTTCGGGTCAATTTCCCACTCACTTTTGTGCCTTGCAGTTAATTAAGTACTTAACATACAAAGAGCACACACACATATAAAGAATCAGTGATTACTACTGAATCCTTTAACACGACTCAAAAGATTTTCCGCCACTAAAAACCCACCATGAGATTTTTCAAACGCGGAGCGAACGAAAAACACAGTGATCGCTACGACGGCTCGACGCGTACTCAACCTAACCTAACCTAACCTAACCTAACCTAACCTAACCTAACCTAACCTAACCTAACCCAGTCGCAGTCGAACCGCCGTCGCGTAAACAGCAAAACAGTGAAGCTCCGCAATTGAAAAATCACAAAAATAGGATTTTTGTCGCGAAACAACTAGTGCGATATATCATTTTGTGCGTCTTGCGACGGCAAATCTAAAAATATACTATTTGTATATCAAAAAGTGTTTACAAGTGTGTAAAAAGTCTAAAAAACTGAAAAATTGTGAAATAACAGTGACAAAAGTGAGTGCGGCGCGAGATTGGGATCGACGACCCCCCTTTTTCTTCACATCATCGGATGCAACTTGACGAGCTGCATCTTTTGAGGTCAGTTTCTGAATTTTATCCCCCAAGAGAAACGGAGAAAAGGAATAAAAACCAAAAAGGGGCGTGACCACAACTTGACTAAATAAGGCAGGCCCCACATAGTGCAATACACCAAATTACGCGCCCTGAGACGGCGAATTGAATGGTGTATCACTTTTAAATATTGGAATTGGGGAAAAAATTTTACAAATAAAAATACAAAATAACCTCTGAAAAATCAACAAAAAACCAAATAACTAAAAAAGTAAAGCGGCGACCCCAACATTAAAAATCAAATTCAAATAGAGCTCAAAAAGCCGCTTCATTAGAGGGGTCGCAAAAAATTTTCGGAGCAGGATCCAGCAAGTTAAAAAAGAAAAACCTTCAAACCACGTGGCACGTGGTCGCAGTTCCCGTGGGACGCCAACGACTTGCGGCATATCATCGTGAAGCTCCCGTTAAGACCAGCAAGGCGCCGTTTTCAAAATCGGAATCGACCCAGCGGTTGCCGAGAAAAGCCGACGGGAAGAATTAAGTTAAAAAACAGGGAATAACTCGGGAACGGTAGGAGATAGGGCATTTTTAACACCACCCCAGTATATGGATATATATCCATATCCTGGTTTTGATCGCGCGGCTCAGATCTATATTAAAACATTTTTAAAATAGTGAAAATACGAAATTTGTAGAAATCCCGAAAATTTGGAAAAATTTGTCAAAATCGGAAATCTTTGAACGCCCGTATCTCAAAAACGGTGCAGATTTCGGGATTTTTAACGGCAGTCTTGTATACATTTATGTATACAAGCCTTGTGCTACTAAATTCATTTAATATAAAACCATAAGAATTTCCCCCCTTAGGGAACTTCCCCCGCAACTCCCCCCCCTCCCGCCGTTCACGGGTTTTTCACCCAAAAAACAGTACTTAGTGTAAGAAATTAAAATAAGACACCCCTGCGGAGTGTTTGTACCCGCAAAAACCTATTGGCCTTCGAGAAACCCAAATATTACTACAAAATTTCTAAAGAACATCCATCCCCACCTCTTTTGCAAAAGTTTTAGTCCTTTCAGTAAATAGAATAAATAAAGGGATACAACTGTGAAGAAACCGCGTCGAGATCGGAGCACAGACACCGGAACTACAGCCGATCTTCACTTTGGCGGCCATTTTGTCCGCCATCTTGTAAAACTTTAGACGGCTGTATCTTTGGAACGGGCTGCCCGATTTCGACGGGATTTCCAACCTTAAGAAGGCCAGGTGACTCTGCGTAGGACTGCAGTAAAAACCGCAATAAAGTAGAGTCGACTCTACATACCCAGTTTTTGAATTGTAAAAGACGAGCACGGGGAGCTTTTCACGAGAGTGAAAACCGCTTTCTCCTCCGGGCAAAACTAACAAAGTTACGGCAATTTTACAGATTGGCGGCCATTTTGACCGCCATCTTGGATATTTTAAAAACTACATAACTCGGAAAATACTTAACCGATTTTAACAAGCGACGTATCAAATAAAAGGGCACAAAGAGCCCATTCGATCTGGGATATAGAGACGGCTCTACATAGAGTCGAAAAAATAATTTTGTAAAAACTGACTCAGAACTAGCATAAGTTGACGGCTGCCACCCTATTGGGGACAGACCCTAGGTTAAGTCAAGAAATTTGACAACGTGACGGCTGCCACCCTATTGGGACAGACCTTAATTTTAAGCTAAATAATAATAATTGTAAAAACTCCAAAAGTGCATTGTATTATTGACTTATATTTATTGAATAATTTAAACCATTGACATAACTTCCCCCTATTGGGAATTGTTATTATTTACTGTCAGTTGTAAAAGTGACGACTATCACCCTATTGGGGATAGACCCACTGACTAAATTATTATAAACTATTACATAAGGACAACCACCCTATTGGTGGCCTTATTAGTTTAAGTTCTAGTTTAAGATTACACCAGACAAACGCACTATTGGCGGTCGTTTAGATGCTGTAATAGAATTGTTACTGTAAAATAAAACGGACGTGAAGCCTTATTGGGCCACAAAATAAAACAAGACAACTATTATTACAAATTGTTTAAATATTACTGTATATAAGACAGCCGCCCTATAGGCGACTTTATTAGTTTATAAGTAAAAAAAAAAAAAAAAAAAATATCTAATATATTACTATTTATCTAATTTATTACTATTTATTATAAATAATCTACATCTATCTGGAAACTTAAATAATAGCCTACCTAAATATATCACTTACCTGAAACTCACCTCAAATCCAAAATCCCCCAAATAAAAATGTTCGCATTAAGAACACCCACAAAACCTCGCACCTCCACGACACCAGACATAAATCTGGAGAAGACTTCTACTGTAGCGAGCGGAACACAAGTACCAAGAGAAAGCAAAGTTAGGAAGAGTATAGACCAGTGGGAGGGGACAACTGCAGAAGAGGAAGAAAGAGGGAAAGGTAAAGAATGTAAAGAGTATAAGAGTCGCACCACGGAAGCATTGGCGCAAAGACAGAGCGTAAGCAAACATTTAAGTATGTCAAGAAATATAAAGGGAGAAATAAAAACAGCAATCACGGAGGCAGTCAAAAAACTATATGAACTTGTAAAGGAAACTGAAGCTGAACTCAAAAGAGAGGAATTGCCAATAAACAAAACCTATAACATAGACGGTAACGGAAACACGAGAAGCACGCCGCAAATCGATACAGAAAAATTAGAAGAACAAATAAAACGGCTGGAAAAAGAAAACGACAGGATGGAGGAAACCAGCAAACAACTAAAAGAGGATATAAAAGCTCTTAATACACAACAAGGAAACAGTATAGTTGAAGAAATGAAAATGGAACTAAGAGAATACAGACGCGAGGAAGAGGAAAGAGAAAAAAGGATAGAAGGAAAGATTTTGACGTACGCAGAAGCGGCAGCAATTAAGCAAAGAAACACTGAAACGAATGAAGATGAAACGAACAAAACCCTGAACAAACGAGGGCAAATGCACTCGATTATAATAAAGTCCGCAGGCACAGAAACGAGCGAAAAATTACTAGAACGCATCCGGAACACGGTAGACGCCAAAAACACCGGACTCAATGTAGACAAAATCAGAAAAGTAAAAGATCAAAAAATAGTTATAGGATGTACCACCACGGAGCGACTTGATAAAATCACAGACCGCTTAAAGACCGACTCATCCTACATAGTGGAAACTGCAATCACCAAGGACCCGCTGGTCGTCCTCAGAGACGTGATAAAAGCCCACACAGATGAGGATGTGGTGAGTGCACTTAAAAATCAAAATAGGAACCTCTTCAAAGACCTGCAGGAGGAGGATATAAGAGCAGCGGTAAAATACCGAAGGCGGGCAAGAAATCCGCACACTGAGAATATAATTCTCCAGGTCTCTCCGCGTGTGTGGAAAATGCTCACAGAAGCAAAAAGGGCGCACATAGATCTACAACGAGTATCGGTGCAGGATCAAACACCACTAATACAGTGCTCGAGGTGTCTGGGTTACGGCCACGGGCGAAAATATTGCAAAGAAGCCGACCCAACCTGCTCGCACTGTGGAGGATCCCACCTGAAAGTCGACTGCCCAGACCACACAGTGGGAGTACCACCAGTATGCGTAAACTGCCGGAAGGCAAATACTGGCCCGAATGCACACAACGCCTTTGATATCGAGTGCCCAGTTCGGAAAAGGTGGGACATGTTAGCCCGCAGCCCAGTGGCCTATTGTTAACGCCAGAGTTGTGCAAAAATCAATTAAAGTAATTCAAGCCAACCTACAAAGAGCCAAAATAGCCACTGATGAATTGATCATGGAAGCGCAAAAGCGGCGAATCGCGGTGGCCCTAATCCAGGAGCCGTACGTCGGGTCAGAAGGCAAGATGAGGGAGTACAAGGGTACCAGTGTGTATCAAAATATAGACACGGTAGGAGGCACCAACAAAGTGGCTATTGCAGTACTAGATGATACAATCGAAGTACTGCAATACCCTGAACTTACAACTAGAAACGTGGTACCTATCGGTCTTAAAACAGCCAAAGGCGTGATACACCTGGTATCCTTCTACATTGAACCGAAGCCAAAACCAATAAGACCGTTTCTTCTGGAATTAGAGAAGGCAATAAAAACACTCCATGAGAAAACAATAATAGGAGGAGATGTCAACGCCAGCAGCCCATGGTGGGGCAGCAGCGTCACAAACGACAGAGGCGAGGAGGTGGAGGCGACTCTGGACAGCATGAGCATGGAAATCGTGAACCAGGGCGGGGAATACACTTTTGACACTATCAGAGGAAACACAAGGTACACTAGTTGTGTTGACATCACTGCCGTCACTCATGACCTTCTCGGACTTATTGAAAAGTGGAGAGTGGACCATGATGTGACAGGCTCCGATCACAACGCCCTTACATTTACTATTAAATTAGAGCTTTCACCACAAGAACGCGTTGACAGCACAACTAGGGTATATAACGTGAGGAAGGCGAACTGGACCCATTTTCGTGAGAAAATCAGCCAGTTGCTCTCCGAACGTAATCTCTCAACAGAACACATAAACAGTATACACTCAACACAAGAATTAGAAAACACACTCACACACTACACTAACATCATCACAGAAGCATGCGACACACATATACCAAAAATTAAAAAACGCAAAATACTCACCTCCCCCCCCTGGTGGTCCGAAACGCTCTACCAAATGAAGAAAGACGTAGCCACAAAGAAGCGAAGAATAAGATGCGCAGCTCCAGCCCGGCGAACCGTTGTCATCGAAGAATACCTGAAAGCAAAACACAATTACAAAGAAGAAATAGAAAAAGCAGTAATAAATAGTTGGAAGTCCTTTTGCAGCAGAGACAGAGACCGGGAGAGCCTTTGGGATGGCATATATAGAGTCATAAAACGAACCAACGAAAGGAAGAAAGATCAAAATATGCTGAAAAAAGATGGAAGGGTTCTGACGCCTGAAGAGTCAGCACAATATCTGGCGGAGACCCTCTTCCCAGAGGACACGAAAAAGGGAGAAAGCAGGGAACACTCAGACATAAGGAGCAGAGCCGAAAAGATAAACAATATGGAACATAATGCCAACTATGATCCACTGTTTACTCACACGGAACTAACCGAAAGTGTTGCCAGCTTCAACCCAAAAAAGGCACCCGGGGAAGATGGGTTCACTGCGGATATATGCGGACATGCGATATCAGCAAATCCATCCATCTATCTAACGTTGGCAAACAAATGCCTAACACTCGGATACTTTCCTGCCCGATGGAAAAAAGCCACAGTTATTATACTAAGGAAACCGGACAGGGAAGCATATGACCAGCCCAAGGCATATCGCCCCATAGGGCTGCTTCCTGTACTAGGCAAGATCATGGAAAAGATGATAGTCAAAAGGCTGAACTGGCATTTGATACCAAGAATGTCGGAGAGGCAATATGGCTTCGTCCCACAAAAGGGCACGGAGGACGCGCTGTATACGCTGACAAAACATATTAGGGAAGGTCTGAAGGCAAAAAAGGTGGTGACGGTAGTGTCTCTCGATATCGAGGGGGCTTTCGACAACGCTTGGTGGCCGGCAATTAAAACTAGACTAGCCGAAGAAGACTGCCCCCTTGGTGTCGGGAGGATTGTCGACAGCTACCTTAGGGACAGGAAGATCAGAGTTATATATGGAGGTACAGCCTGGGAAAAAACCACAAGTAAAGGGTGTGTTCAAGGCTCCATCAGCGGACCGACACTTTGGAATTTACTGGTGGACCCCCTGCTAAAAGAGCTAGAACATCAAAATGTATACGTACAAGCCTTCGCTGACGACATTGTGCTGGTCTTCACAAACGATACCGCGCTGGAAACGGAAAAAAGTGCCAACCAAGCACTAACACATGTCCAAAGGTGGGGACAGCGCAACAAACTAAAGTTCGCACCACACAAAACAAAGTCTATGGTGATAACAAATCGGACTAAATACGATGTCCCGAGACTCACCATGGCTGGTGTGGACATCGAAACTTTTAAAAGTATAAAGATACTGGGCCTAACAATAGACAACAAAATGACTTTTGGCGAACATACAGCAGTGGTGGCAAAAAAGGCAATAAACATTTACAAGCAGTTAGCCAAAACAGCAAAAGTGAGCTGGGGCTTAAATCCGGACATAATCCGAACGATTTATACAGCGGTGGTTGAACCAGTAATCCTATACGCAGCAAGCGCTTGGTCCCCATCCGTTAGTAAACTGTACATAAAGAAAAGGTTGGACTCAGTCCAACGAGGTTTTGCGGCAAAAATATGTAAAGCCCATAAAACCGCGTCGCTTAATTCAGTTAGAGTGCTCGCCGGGCTGCTACCCCTCGACCTAAGAGTTGTAGAGGAGGCAACACTTTTTAAAATTAAAAAAGGACACGACACCTTGGAAGTGCTGAAAGATGTGGAGATAGAACTAAAAACGCCCTACCAAAACACTCCACACCCTGCAAAAATCCCCCAAATTAGTTATCGAGTTTTAGCAAATGAAGAGGTGAATAATGAAGACAAAATACACGTCTACACAGATGGCAGTAAAACAAGCGAGGGCGTGGGTGCGGCGGTGACATTCTGGAGAAACGATCGTGAGATCCTAAAACATAAATTAACCCTGGCCGGCTTTTGCAGTGTTTACCAGGCCGAATTATTGGCCTTGAAAAAAGCAGTGCACTTGGCGGTGCGGCGAAAGGAGGTCGGCTTTAATATATTTAGTGATGCAAGGTCAGCGCTTGACGCTATAACAAGTAGCCGCTCTCTCAGTCCCCTCGTCACCGATATTCGTGAAGTGCTCGGAAAACACCCGGAAAAGGAAATAAAACTTTTCTGGGTGAAAGCCCACGCAGGTAGGGAGGGAAATGAGAGAGCGGACGAGCTAGCCAAAGAAGCAACAAAAAACCACAAAAACAAGCCGACCTACGATCGCTGCCCGCTGTCGCATCTAAAGCGCCTCATAAGAGCGGAAACGCTGCAAAAGTGGGCCACAAGGTACAAAAACGAACAAACAGGGAAAATAACAAAAATGTTCTTCCCGGATGCCATCGCTGCATACAAAATAATCAGAAATATAACATTTAACAGTACACTGTCTCAGATACTCACAGGACACGGGGGATTTTCTGCCTACTTATATAGGTTTAAATTAAAAGAAAGCCCGACGTGCATATGTGGATACGCAGAGGAAGACGTTCCACACATCCTATTCGACTGTCCCGTCCACTTCTACGTAAGAATGAAACTTGAAAACCAGATAGATGTAGACAAAATAGGCAAATGTAATATAGCATCGGAATTAGCGAAAAAAGATAATAGAAAAACGATACTTCAATATTGTATAGAAATAGGAACCTTAGTAAATAATAGAAATAAGTAAAAAATTGCAAAATATGTATTGTAAAATGTAATCAAAATTTAAATGTAATTTGAATTGAATAACCAAATAAAGGAACAACTAACAAAGTATCAGCTATTCCACGGCCCGGAGTTGCCCAACGTCCGGGGGTAGGCTATTAGGAGAATAAAAAAAAAAAAAAAAAAAACCTAACCTAACCTAACCTAACCAGTCGCAGTCGAACCGCCGTCGCGTAAACAGCAAAACAGTGAAGCTCCGCAATTGAAAAATCACAAAAATAGGATTTTTGTCGCGAAACAACTAGTGCGATATATCATTTTGTGCGTCTTGCGACGGCAAATCTAAAAATATACTATTTGTATATCAAAAAGTGTTTACAAGTGTGTAAAAAGTCTAAAAAACTGAAAAATTGTGAAATAACAGTGACAAAAGTGAGTGCGGCGCGAGATTGGGATCGACGACCCCCTTTTCTTCACATCATCGGATGCAACTTGACGAGCTGCATCTTTTCAGGTCAGTTTCTGAATTTTATCCCCCAAGAGAAACGGAGAAAAGGAATAAAAACCAAAAAGGGGCGTGACCACAACTTGACTAACCAAATTACGCGCCCTGAGACGGCGAATTGAATGGTGTATCACTTTTAAATATTGGAATTGGGGAAAAAAATTTACAAATAAAAATACAAAATAACCTCTGAAAAATCAACAAAAACCAAATAAATAAAAAAGTAAAGCGGCGACCCTAACATTAAAAATCAAATTCAAATAGAGCTCAAAAAGCCGCTTCATTAGAGGGGTCGCAAAAAATTTTCGGAGCAGGATCCAGGAAGTTAAAAAAGAAAAACCTTCAAACCACGTGGCACGTGGTCGCAGTTCCCGTAGGACGCCAACGACTTGCGGCATATCATCGTGAAGCTCCCGTTAAGACCAGCAAGGCGCCGTTTTCAAAATCGGAATCAACCCAGCGGTTGCCGAGTAAAGCCGACGGGAAGATTTAAGTTAAAAAACAGGGAATAACTCGGGAACGGTAGGAGATAGGGCATTTTTAACACCACCCCAGTATATGGATATAATCCATATCCTGGTAATGATTGCGGGGCTTAGTTTTATAATATGATATTTTTAAAATAGTGAAAATCCGAAATTTGTAAAAATCCCGAAAATTTGGAAAAATTTGTCAAAATCGGAAATCTTTGAACGCCCGTATCTCAAAAACGGTGCAGATTTCGGGATTTTTAACGGCAGTCTTGTATACATTTATGTATACAAGCCTTGTGCTACTAAATTCATACAATATAAAACCATAAGAATTTCCCCCTTAGGGAACTTCCCCGCAACTCCCCCCCCCCGCCGTTCACGGGTTTTTCACCCAAAAAACAGTACTTAGTATAAGAAATTAAAATAAGACACCCCTGCGGAGTGTTTGTACCCGCAAAAACCTATTGGCCTTCGAGAAACCCAAATATTACTACAAAATTTCTAAAGAACATCCATCCCCACCTCTTTTGCAAAAGTTTTAGTCCTTTCAGTAAATAGAATAAATAAAGGGATACAACTGTGAAGAAACCGCGTCGAGATCGGAGCACAGACACCGGAACTACAGCCGATCTTCACTTTGGCGGACATTTTGTCCGCCATCTTGTAAAACTTTAGACGGCTGTATCTGTGGAACGGGCTGCCCGATTTCGACGGGATTTCCAACCTTAAGAAGGCCAGGTGACTCTGCGTAGGACTGCAGTAAAAACCGCAATAAAGTAGAGTCGACTCTACATACCCAGTTTTTGAATTGTAAAAGACGAGCACGGGGAGCTTTTCACGAGAGTGAAAACCGCTTTCTCCTCCGGGCAAAACTAACAAAGTTACGGCAATTTTACAGATTGGCGGCCATTTTGACCGCCATCTTGGATATTTTAAAAACTACATAACTCGGAAAATACTTAACCGATTTTAACAAGCGACATATCAAATAAAAGGGCACAAAGAGCCCAATCGATCTGGGATATAGAGACGGCTCTACATAGAGTCGAAAAAATAATTTTGTAAAAACCGACTCAGAACTAGCATAAGTTGACGGCTGCCACCCTATTGGGGACAGACCCTAGGTTAAGTCAAGAAATTTGACAACGTGACGGCTGCCACCCTATTGGGACAGACCTTAATCTTAAGCTAAATAATAATAATTGTAAAAACTCCAAAAGTGCATTGCATTATTGACTTATATTTATTGAATAATTTAAACCATTGACATAACTTCCCCTATTGGGAATTGTTATTATTTACTGTCAGTTGTAAAAGTGACGACTATCACCCTATTGGGGATAGACCCACTGACTAAATTATTATAAACTATTACATAAGGACAATAGGGTATTGGTGGCCTTATTAGTTTAAGTTCTAGTTTAAGATTACACCAGACAAACACACTATTGGCGGTCGTTTAGATACTGTAATAGAATTGTTACTGTAAAAAAAAACGGACGTGAAGCCTTATTGGGCCACAAAATAAAACAAGACAACTATTATTACAAATTGTTTAAATATTACTATATATAAGACAGCCGCCCTATAGGCGACTTTATTAGTTTATAAGTAAAAAATATCTAATATATTACTATTTATCTAATTTATTACTATTTATTATAAATAATCTACATCTATCTGGAAACTTAAATAATAGCCTACCTAAATATATCACTTACCTGAAACTCACCTCAAATCCAAAATCCCCCAAATAAAAATGTTCGCATTAAGAACACCCACAAAACCTCGCACCTCCACGACACCAGACATAAATCTGGAGAAGACTTCTACTGTAGCGAGCGGAACACAAGTACCAAGAGAAAGCAAAGTTAGGAAGAGTATAGACCAGTGGGAGGGGACAACTGCAGAAGAGGAAGAAAGAGGGAAAGGTAAAGAATGTAAAGAGTATAAGAGTCGCACCACGGAAGCATTGGCGCAAAGACAGAGCGTAAGCAAACATTTAAGTATGTCAAGAAATATAAAGGGAGAAATAAAAACAGCAATCACGGAGGCAGTCAAAAAATTATATGAACTTGTAAAGGAAACTGAAGCTGAACTCAAAAGAGAGGAATTACCAATAAACAAAACCTATAACATAGACGGTAACGGAAACACGAGAAGCACGCCGCAAATCGATACAGAAAAATTAGAAGAACAAATAAAACGGCTGGAAAAAGAAAACGACAGGATGGAGGAAACCAGCAAACAACTAAAAGAGGATATAAAAGCTCTTAATACACAACAAGGAAACAGTATAGTTGAAGAAATGAAAATGGAACTAAGAGAATACAGACGCGAGGAAGAGGAAAGAGAAAAAAGGATAGAAGGAAAGATTTTGACGTACGCAGAAGCGGCAGCAATTAAGCAAAGAAACACTGAAACGAATGAAGATGAAACGAACAAAACCCTGAACAAACGAGGGCAAATGCACTCGATTATAATAAAGTCCGCAGGCACAGAAACGAGCGAAAAATTACTAGAACGCATCCGGAACACGGTAGACGCCAAAAACACCGGACTCAATGTAGACAAAATCAGAAAAGTAAAAGATCAAAAAATAGTTATAGGATGTACCACCACGGAGCGACTTGATAAAATCACAGACCGCTTAAAGACCGACTCATCCTACATAGTGGAAACTGCAATCACCAAGGACCCGCTGGTCGTCCTCAGAGACGTGATAAAATCCCACACTGATGAGGAAGTGGTGAGTGCACTGAAAATCCAAAATCGGAACGTGTTCAAAGACCTGCGGGAGGAAGAGATAAGAATAGCGGTAAAATACCGAAGACGAGCCAGAAATCCGCATACCGAGAATATAATCCTACAGGTCTCTCCGCGCGTGTGGAAAATGCTCACAGAAGCAAGGAAGGCACACATAGACCTGCAGCGAGTATCGGTGCAAGATCAATCACCACTAATACAGTGTTCGAGGTGTCTGGGTTACGGCCACGGGCGGAAATACTGTAAAGAAGCCGACCCAACCTGCTCACACTGTGGAGGATCGCACCTGAAAGCTGACTGCCCAGACCACCAAGCGGAAGTACCACCGGTGTGCGTGAACTGTCGAAAGGCAAACACTGGCCCAGATGCGCACAACGCCTTCGATATCGAGTGCCCAGTGCGGAAAAGATGGGACATACTAGCTCGCAGCCCAGTGGCTTATTGCTAACGCCAGAGTTGAGCAAAAATCTATCAGGGTGATACAGGCAAACCTGCAAAGAGCTAAAATCACCACTGAAGAACTCATCCTGGAAGCACAAAAGCGTCGCGTAGCGATAGCCCTAATCCAGGAACCATATGTCGGGTCGAAGGGCAGAATGAAAGAGTACAGGGGAACCAGTGTGTACCAAAATGTAGATACGATGGGAGGCCACAACAAAGCGGCTATTGTTGTGCTCGATGATACTATCGAGGTACTGCAATACCCCGAAATCACAACAAAAAACGTGGTACCCATCGGTCTTAAAACAGCCAGAGGCGTGATACACCTGGTTTCCTTCTACATCGAGCCAAAACCCAAGCCAATAAGACCGTTCCTGGATGAGATAGAGAGGGCTATCCAAACACTCCGCCAGAAGATTCTGATAGGAGGAGACACCAACGCAAGAAGCCCATGGTGGGGCAGCAATACCACGAACGACAGAGGCGAGGAGATCGAAGCGACTCTCGACGGTGCAAGTATGGAGATCGTAAACCAGGGCGGGGAATACACATTTGACACTATCAGAGGAAACACAAGATACACGAGTTGTGTTGACATCACTGCCGTCACTCATGATCTTCTCGGACTTATCGAAAAGTGGAGGGTCGATCATGACCGGCTCTGACCACAACGCTCTTACATTTACCATCAAATTAGAACTAACACAAAAAGTAAGCGTTGACAGCACAACCAGGGTTTACAACGTGAGAAGGGCGAACTGGACCCATTTTCATGAGAAAATTAGCCAGTTGCTCTCCGAACGCAATCTCTCAATAGAACACATAAACAGTATACAC